GCGGAGGAGCGGCCGGCACGGGCTGGAAATACCCACGGGGCAGCGGGGGAAGTTTGGGAATCGCAACTTTAAAATGGGGAAAAGAGACAGAGGGATATGTCGCGGAATCAGTTGGGTTCGAAAGAGCTCGGAGGTCATCGAGTCCAACCTGGAGCGATCCCCACCCCGGCACCCCGAGCAGAGCGCTCGGTGCCACCCAGTCCTTCCTTAAACACCTCCAGGGACGGTGACTCCACCACCTCCCAGGGCTGCCCATTCCAGTATTTAATCATCCTTTCTGTGAAGAAATCCCTCCAAATGTCAGACCTGATCCTCCCCTGGCACAGCTTAAGACAGTGTCTGGTCGAACTACTTTAAAACCTGTGTGCACAGCCCTCCACCTGCTGAAAATGTCTGAGTTTATCCCGCATTTCCTGACGTTGGCATTTTTCTGTTCTGCCCCAGGGCCGACTGATGTAACCGGCAGCTGCTGAAAGCTGCTGCAGTGTTCTCTGAGTTTTCCTTTGTCCTGCTGCCTCGCCTCGAAACTCTGATATCCCTGTTAATTAGAAACTCTGATATCCCCCTTCATTTGTCTCGTGGCTTTTGCTTCACTTTATTCTCTTGCTGTGATCCAGCAGCGTTTGCTTTGATGCTGTTGAATCTACCCGGCCAAGGAGAGCCACAAGTAGCCCTGAAAATTCTGGCGCTAATGTGAACTGCAGGAATGTTGCCTATGTTCAGGGAATTCAAAAGTAATTGAACTGGAAGGGCCAATGGAATTCCTGCATCAGCGTGGTTTAAATAAACAGCTAAGAATACCACAGTGGTAAAACTGTCTGCACCCAGGGCTGGCACTGCCCCAGCACGGGAGGTGTGGACTTTTCATGTGGCAGACGTGTCCTCCCAGCAGAAGGGAAGAAACAGAATATGGAAAAGAACACTTAATAACTTCAGTTATTCTTGCAGGGTGAAAATTGATGCAGACTTAAAAGTGAGTTGTTACTGTGTAACTTCATCTGTAACCTGTACAATAATCTAATTGTTGTTTGGGGTGTTCTTGTTTCAAAGGAGTGTGATCAAAAATACTCCTAAACACGAGTCACTCCATGAACCTGCTGCATTTATTATTTTTCCTTTGCCAGTGAGGAGGGCATGGAAGAGAACAGCACAGCACATCCTCCCCTGAGCAGAGTTTCACAATCTCCATCAAAGGCTGGTGGTTCTTTAGGTGTCACCCTGGCCAAACGTGACGGGAGGACAATCCCAGGAGGTGCTGGCTGATGTCAGAGAGGTGCTGCTCCTGCTGGCAGCTGCAGAGCAGGAGCTGTGGGTGCCTCTGATCCCAAACCACCCCTGCCTGTCTCGCCAGGCTGCTGCAGCACCGCTTGGGCAGAGGCAGCGCTGACAGACCTGATGTCATCACATGATGGCATGGGCTTTTTATAGGTTGAAAACACTTTTCTTACTCTGGGCAGGATTCTTGTGCAAAGGCACGTTCCTTTGAGCTGAATGTGCTGATGCAGTTTTCCTGGTAGCTGAGCTGTTTCAAGGAGGGTTTGTAGTTGTCAGGCAGCCGCTCTAAAAGGCATCTGTGTGTCGGAGGTGGTGTGAGGAGACTCAGTGCTGAATAAAATCCTGTCTGCTACGAGACTACAGCAGCTTTCATCTAAAATTATTTAAAAAAAAATAGAGCAGCATATCTGTGGAGACTGAGTCCCTTTATAAGTGACTTTATTGATACAGAGAAAGCTGTAATTGGTGAAAAAATGCTTTCCTTGCTCGGAGTGAATGTAAGGACATTAATTTCAAAGGATGTTGATTGTGAACTCCAGCTGGCTCTAGTGGTGAAATAATAATGTTAAACAAAATAACCAAAAACACTGAAGGGAACCAACTAAATATTTGTTTTTCTTCATTCTGGATAGACTCTTTAATGGAGCCTGTCTAAAGGGAATTGTTCATGTGTGGACCAAAACAACTTTTTCATACAGAACAGACACAGGATTGTGCTGGGTGTTTTTGTACAAAAGGCAGCCTGGTGCCCGCCAGAGCAGGGGACAGCATGTCGTTTGTTCCCCTGGGAGATGTTGTGACAAACTCTGGAAAGAGCAGCTTCCATGTCATCAGCAGTGCCTGCCTGGCTGCTCTGTGCCCTCACAGAGCTCCCCTTTCGCTGCCTGCCCTGCTCAGATTTCTGTGCTCTGCTTGCAGCAATGATTGACCTATTTCCATCAGCCTGGCTAATCATTAGTTGACTTAAAATTGACACCTCCTTGTTGTCTGGGGCTGGATTTGTTGTAATGGTCTGGTGATGTTTTCCTTAGAGTTCAGGTAATGCTGTCCCTCCCTAAGGCTGCTTGAAGAGCTTCCCAATGTTCTCCTGTCCTTTTTCCTATTTGAATTAAAGGTGCATCTTTTGAATTCAAGTCTTTGCTTTATTGCCCTGCATTTCCTGTTCTTCCTGTGCTTGAGTGCCCTTTGTAAAGCCCCAGGCCTGGCAGCCCTGGCTGAGCCTGGCAAATTGTGGGGACCTTGAGCAGAGCAACAATTCCCCAGGTGTTAGGGTGGGATGTGCTCATGCTTTCTGTGCACCATATCCTCAGTAGAAATAAACACTGGGGAATGCGACTGGGAGGGGGAATATTTCCACTGAGAATTAAAGCCAGGCCACAGCTCATTTCTTAATCTTGAAATTA